TAACTACTTTCTCCAAAGATAATGATGACAATTAAAGATAACAACTAATTTTATATAGAATTGAAATCATAATGTAATTAAACTTAATAAAATCATTCAGAAAATAGAAAAATGCATTTTCGAAGACATAGATGATAAAATTTGGTTGTAAAAAGGTCTTACGTATCGGATCTTTTCCACCCAAAATTCTCTAACAATGAACACTTCGAAAAATTATGTCTTTCAATGCCAACATAACTTCTCCACGTAATCTTCTTTCCGTATTGTATCGTAAGTCGACAAAGTGTGTTGTTGAGTTTATAATAAAGCAAGGAATACTGCCTATGGGCTCATAATTTTTCTCCATGCTTTCTTAATCTTGCCCCAAAATACTAGCCCATATGTTTTTGGGAAAAAATCATATCTTTAACTATGATCCATTTCAAAAATAAGAAATAAGTTTTAAAATTTAAAAATAAGATATTATTAAATTCTATTTATAAAATTATTAATTAAAAATACCTTATAAATTAAATATATTAAGGTCACAAATTTGTACAAATTAGTGACAAATTATCGAATTAATTAGTTACAGATTATTTCGCTGTCACATATCAAAAAAATTATAGGTCACAAATTATTCTCGATTATAAATCAAAAATTTTATGGATTACAATTTATTCAGCAATCACAAATATTATAAGTTACATCTTATTTAACTATCACAAATTATCAAATGAATCGGTCACAAAAAAAGTTCCAGTCAAAACTTAGTAATAAGTCACAATCACCTTCTTTAGGTCACATATCATTTATTGATTATAAATTAACCACTTTATTGGCCACAATTAGTCAAGTAATTGGTCTCATATTAACTAATTTATGGTTATGCTCTATTAAATAATTGATACAAACACTCTCCATTTCCAACCTAACTCCATCCCACCCCACCACAACAGTAGCAATTCAGTTACACCACCACCACCATTGCCATCGCCATCGATCTACCACTTCACACCTGCAACCCCACTAAAAATCACCATTAACTTGCTACTGACACCACCACCACCATCGCATGTATCAACAATAACAACCACCGTTGCTTATATCAACAAAAACTACCGCCAATCGTTAGTGTAACAAAATCACTTCCAACACCACCTCCATGTCTAACAAAGCCACCGCCAACACCAACGCCAAATCCATTCAGAAGATTATTTATTGGTCACAACACTCAAATAATTGGTCACAAATACTCTTAGTTCCACTTCACCACCACTGCCACCACTAATGCCAACAATAATACTACCAATGTCACCACCACCTCATGAGCACTCCTAACATCAGCACCACCAACAACTGCAAACACTAACAACAAAACATAAACATAAAATGGCCGCCTATAACCAGAGATTAGTAATGCCGCCACTTGTCTCAATATGTAGTATGATCTTCACCTGCCTATGAAGATTATTGTTTTTGTTTTACAGCCAAATTTGCCTGCCTATCTACTCATGAACAATAATATGCTTGATTCGCAACTTCATAGTCAGATCTCAGCGCTGGCTACCTACCTCTGCCTCACACCAGCACCCCTCCTTCTCTTCTCCAACATGATCTACAGCGTTGGCCACTTGTCCATCATCGCCCATAGATAAAATGGCCACCTGTGACTAGAGATCTACAACGTTGCGCAAGAGGTGCTGCTATCGCACTCAGTGATCGTGTGTGATGGTGCGGTCTCACAATAGGTCGAAATAGAGAAGGTGAGAGAGAGAGAGAGTTATGGAAAATGAATTAGGGTTTGATAGATGAGATGGGTGAGGTGTGAGTTTAAATTAATTTAATTTTATAATGATATTATTAATATTCAAAAATGAATTATCATCTGATTTTTGAACAAAGAATCTTTAAATCTGATTTTTGAATTAGGACTTTAAAAACTAGGGATGCATGTAATTTCCACTATATTTTTTCATGCCTAGCCCAGAATCCCTAATCATTGGATTAAACTAATTAACCAAATGTATCCACCATCCAACAAAGTACGAACTCACACGACTGAGAAGCAAGAACCCAAATTTTTATATCTTTTGCATAGTTTTTAAAACTAAATTTTTATATTTGTAAATTGTGATGATGTAGCATAACCCTTCTCGAATTAAACTACAGTGACATTATTATTAAAATATGGACCATGTTACATAAACATAATTGTTGACATGCGGGATGATCGAACACTCACACTTCGGGAGTCGGGCATTATTTCATTCACGCGGAGTTCACGCTCACGCTCCATATGAGGGTCGGTCACCCATTCGATCACCAAAATTTGGGCACTTTGACATTTTCCTTAACATAATGGCTGACATAATATTACATTACATTTCATCATTGAATTATTTTAAATACAGTCAGCTTTTTATTCAATCACATCTTACCAAATCACATTATGTTACTACATCTGGCAACCACTTTCTGTCAAAGTAGCATAACCCTTCTCCTTGATGCTTAGTTGTTTCGATTTCAGACAACAAATGGGTACTAATTTTGTCATGTTGGCTTATAGTGTTTATAACTAATCTACCTTAATATTTGACGATTTGTTGCTATTTTAATGTTAATCAAAGAAGTCATTCACGATTAAACCAAAATTTACACAAACCATTCAAAACAGAAATTTAAATGCAGAAAGTAAAGTGTAAACACAAGGATTTTTCGGCCGAAGCCCCAGAGGTTCAGCTTAAAGCCTAATCCCCTGTTGAGCATCCATTATAAAACGGATCTAGCTCGGTTGCACTAAAAACTCAAAATATGGAAGTCAAAATACAGAAGTACAGATCACAAGATAGTCACAGAGACT